ATGACCTTACACAGTGAGCTAAAGTGAACTGTAGGGGGTGTGAAGGACTCCTTGTTTTCTGGACACAAGCCACAGGTTGTTATGTAATGGTGAGGTGGGGGCCCAGGGGTCCCAGGGGCCCCTCCCCCGTCACAGTTTAAACAAACTCACACACACACACACACACACACACACACACTCTGCGATGCTGCCCACGGTGGTTGCGAGCAGGGCCTGCTCCAGGGTACGCAGCTCTATCTGGACGTAAGCGTCCTCCCTGTTTTCTTGAGGGTCCTTGGGAGCCTCGGTGTACGGGCTGATCTGACCTGGCAACGACAACTCTCCTGCAAACACACACACACACACACACACACACACACGGGCCATGAGTGTGAATATCAGATTTGTTTAATATTGGGTATATGGGTGGCGACTGCTGCCCCTGCGACCCGGTAACGGATAAGCGGATGAAAATGGATGGATGGATGGATGTTACTTGATACTGTATCAAGAATAGACGTGATCAAACGGACAGAAAGCTGGAAAAGGATCAACCGGTCGTGTCGATAATCGGTCGATCACAGGAGCCTTTTCAGCCGAACGTAACGTTTGTTGGTTAGGATTTTAGCAGGAAGTGAAAACAGACAGAGTCTGATCCTGAGTCAGATCACAGATGGTAATCCAACACGTCTGCCAGTATAAATGTTCTCTCCATCTGGTTGTGATGTAAAACTGTATGACAGAAGGAGATTTTTTTCTTTTTTTTTCCACAGTGTTTTCTCATGATAGTACAACTAGAACACACCCTGAGCTTTTTCAGTCTGCGGGTGTCCGTGATGTCAGTGTGCTCATGGGTAAAACCTTGTGTCAGCTTCATAAAGGCTCGGACCAACAGCGTCAAACCAAACTCCACGGCAGATTACGTTACCATAACAACGTTTTCCCGCCAACACTGCTCAACTGAGACAAATAACAAAGAAATATTCATCAAAAAAATCTTAAAACTCAAAAGTAAAAAGAAGCAGAAATTTTAATTTTTTTTTGTTAGATTGGCTTTTTTAAGTCTATTGTCACCAATTTGTTTTCTCCAAATATTGGATTTGGTTGATTGTTCCCTGTGAACTGATCACATCCACGAGTGATGACGTATCATATTAGAAATAATTATAACAACTAGAGTGTGTACAAAATAAAATTAAAAAGGCGTTTGTTCCAGAGTGAAAGTCCAACCTTAATATGGAACAAACACACGGTGGCAGGAGCAGCGGTTCTTAGGACACTTTGTTTAGTGTGAACACATCAGTAGAATATCCACCAATGAACAAACACGTCTTTGTATCTTAGAAAAAAGGTATTGTTGTTTTCCTTTTAAACACGACTAACTGTTTCCTTCGATCCAAGACGATCTGGATACGACGATATCCAGGTCGTCTTGTTGGACGATCCTAATTTAGTTTATTTAAAATGAGCTAATATTAGTAATTCCCTCGTTGCATTTAGATTTTTTAGTAATTTAAAGTCTTAACAGAGATCAACTGCAGCCAGGCGTCTTTTAACAGAGATCAACTGCAGCCAGGCGTTGACCTGGTTACGTTTACAGAAGTTAAAACTAACAATTAGGACAAAAAAAACCAAACTTTTTTTATGAAGTCAATTATGAAACAGTCTCATTTTCTTACGGTCTTCTCAACTGAACGGAGCTATTTCTGTATGCGGGGAGTCAGCCCCCCCCCCCCCCCCCCCCCGTGGTTCACTGGGGGTTGAGGGGGGGTCTCTGATTCACCTAGTCATTTTCTGAACTCCCAAGTTTTTAAAGGTCTGTTTCCTGGGTCTAGTAAAAGTTAAGTTTCCAACAAAGATGGCAAAGGTAAAAAGGAAACGCACACACAACGCAAACATTAAATCAGCCTGGCTGGAAACAACAGCTCTTTTCTGCCGACTGGTATAAAGCTGTGAGTGTTTGGACCCAACAACAGAACCACAGAGCAGCCAAGGTGTGTGTGTGTGTGTGTGTGTGTGTGTGTGTGTGTGGAGGCAGCCTCCACAGGTAGGGATTAGAAAACAGTGGTTTGTGCCTTGTCGCCCACAGACCGGTCTCCTGTCGCCTCCATGAATAGATTCTTGTTCGGCCTCTCCGTCCGTAAACACGGCAGCTAATCGGTACCAATTACCTCTCTCGCCTCTCGTCCCGTTCTACGGCACATTTGTTACTCCTGGCTGTAGACAGGACCTGACTTTCATGCGGAGACGCTGTGTGTTTTACCACAAAACAGTCGGACAATAAGTCACTTTTGGTTGACCGTCGTAAATCAGCCCGTCTGTTCGGGTCCATGTTAAACATAATCAATGATCAACGCAGGATTTTTTAGCAATAAAGTTCATACGGTGCGTTAGGAAACCTTCAGCTGCCAAATGGAAACGACTTTATTGGCTGTAGGTTATTTAAGATTTCCTTGCAGCATCAGCTCACATTTTTTTAAGGACCTGTGAAATTAAAGCCGTGAAAAAAAAACAGTTGAGTTGAACATAATAGTGAACTTGCCAGGCACTCAGAGAACTTGAACTTGGGGATTTGTTTCAAATGCAGCATTTTTTGTTTTTACGACTTAATGGAATTTTTCCGTCTCTGCAGTAAATAAGTAACAACAAGAGAAAAAATGGACTCAAAATAATAAAAATAAGAATTTTCCTTCAGCCTTTGTCGGGTTGGACTGGTGTGTGAGGCTCCAGTCAGTAATCTCACCAAAGCCTTTCATGGTCTTTGTTCAGGACCAGGAGTCAGCGAATACCAGGTTGAGACGGACACAAAGGGTGTGTGTGTGTGTGTGTGTGTGTGTGTGTGTGTGTGTGCGCTGTCGGGACCTGAGCCTCAGCTTTAGCAGCGACTGCTGCTGGAAACACATTTACACGTTTCAAAGGAACATGCATGTGTGTACAGTTTGGTGAATGTTCTTCCTTTACTGCTTTTACACCAAATTTTAACCAAATTAAACTGGAACAGAGTCGTCAGAGTCAGGAGTAGATGAAGTATTTCCCCTGTGACCTTCACAGTTTCCTGGGTGACGTAGAAGATTTTGTATTTTGTCGAGGTTATCGGATCACTGATGACTAATAATTAAAAAATCTTTCCTTCAGACTATAATCAAAATTTGAGGTCAGTAGAAGAATTCTTTAGAATTTCTGAGATCATTTACTATTCATTAAAATATTACGTTAATATTACGTTTCCTCTAGAGGGCGTTTTCAGCAGAAATCATCTGTATTGGTTATTGTTTTTAATTAATTAATTAAAGAAAAAGGGTAAAAAAAAAAGTCATTTTCATTTTCACAGAAATCAAGTGTTAAACTAAGCAGCGATGACTGAATCACATGACGCCTGTTGATGACCAATGGTCAGTAACATGCTGAATATCACCTCCTCCTCTCATCACCTCCCTTCATTTTTTAATTACACTGAGGAAGCAGACCAGTCTGAGCACTTTAGCGCCACCATGGCCTCGTCCCAGGAGACTGAACAACAGTGGGTGGCTGTCGTTAACCCCCGACCAACACGGACGACACAAAAGAGCTCTCATTCCCGCTCGGCCTGCACCAGGACGAAAAGGTTCACAGCTCACACAGCCGTCTGCCACCGGCTCCAATAACAACACACACACACACACATATACACACACACACGAGCTGACACTAAGTAACACTGTTCCTAACACGAATATTTTGTTCTGGCTTAAAATGTTCTGATGATGTGATGACGAAAATAAGTCCTGGCAGTGACATTTGAGAAGATGATTCCAGATCGACGGAACACAGACCCAGGCTGTAAAGTCATCATCTCAGACCAGAGATTTACTTGGTTAGATAATCAGTTTAGCAATAGTCAAAATGTAGCCGAAATTACGGCAGGAAATAACCTACAAAATAACAGGCAGATTGAAAGAAATAGCCAAAAAAATAACTATAAATTATTCCACACATAAACTAAAGTTGTCTAAATTTTAGTATTTGGAGCTAAAATCTAGATAAATAATAACTTAAATTCCAAAGTAACTGTCTCAAAAGTGTTGCTGTATATTTGACAATAAAGTTGAACTTGAACTTGAAATGCTTTGAATTCAATGTAACTTTGAACGTAGCAAAAAACAAGAACCGCGAAATGCTAGTTTATATCAATATACAGATTCTGTGATGTTGAAATTGTCATCGACTCAATAATTTATTAAACTAAAACTTTATAAAATATCACATTAATAAATTACAGTCAAACCCTGACTGAAGTTAGTCTAGAAATAACTTACATTTGCGTCCAACAAAAACAGCTAAACATTCAACTCTTCAACTTCAAGAATTAAAAGATAATTTGATGTTTGCTTTGAAACAGCTTTAAAAAGGGTTATTACCAAAATAATTAAAAACAGATGAAAGGTTTTCAGCAGCTTTCTGTCTGCGGAGACCTCCAAGCACAAACCTACTGTTTTTTTTTTTTCTGCTTATCCAAAAACATGACGTTTATCAGGGAAAATCTCCAACTTCCGAATTGGTTATTAACCAAAATGGTTGTTTCCTGTCTGAG